TCAGCTGATTTCATCGTTCAGCCGGCTAGGCATAAATAAGCTACAAATGAAGTTCGGTCTTGGTTTTGATGGTATTTAGCAGCCAGCTTGAGCTTTTTTGCCTGTTTTTCGAAAACAGTAAGTCCGAAGGGGCGCAAGACAGCACAGAGCAAAAGAAGGTCTTATATATATATATATATATATATATATATATTCTCTTTTTATGGGGATCGCCGTACCCCCTCGCCCATATATATATATATATATATATATATATATATATATATATATATATATATATAACATTGCAGTTCAGGCAGTACTGCGCCAAGCTGACATTTTTTTCACCAGATATATGGAGCTGTCTTTGGTGCTTGCTAGTAGAGTCGAACGATGCGTTTTATGTATTTCGAGCGACATTTGTACGACATTTTGCAAGTCGAAGTCACAACTAGGGCAATTACATCCCGAGAACAAGGCGTCGTCCATTGCAACCAGTTCCCATCCCACCAAGTGTGGCGCTGTAAGGAATTGCACCCAGTTTGCACCAAGCGCAGCGCGGTCACGCGTTCAAAGTTCTCACGTGACCACTCGTGACGTCATAGAGCTGTGGCGTCAGCTCAGCTACTCATCTCTTAGTCATACACAAGCAGATGCCGTTGCAGGATATCATGCCAAGGTCACGATGACATCGATTGTGAAGCCGCCGTCAGTTCCCTTGAGAGCGCACGGGCCGGCGGAAGTGGCGCGGCTGGAGATTCGCGGCGGTGATTCGGCCGGGCTGGTGGGTGACGCTGTCGGTAGGCGGTGCCAGCCTGCACGCACGTGCCGGCTGGGCTGTCCGCCGCCGGCCGGCTGCCGGCGATCTGGCTGCCGGGACTGGGTGGGGCGGCACTGCTCTCTGTCCGGCTGCCAGTGGGCAGTGCCCCGCGTCTCGGACCGGAGGTGGCGGGTGTCAACCCCGCCTCATTAGCCTCCATTTATCAGCATCGTGGGGGGGGGGGGGGGGATGGCCTGCCAGCAGGAAGACCGGCTTAGCTCGCTTTCAGAGCGGAAAAGGCTACTCTGCACTGTTATCAGGCAACAGTGCCATGAGTGGATGAATGCCCGGAAATGCCCGCGTGCCCAAGGGCGCAGGAAGGGGAGGAACATGCCCATCACCTTTTAGGTCCCGGGATGCTCGAAGGGCCCCTTGGAACTGACAGGTCGCGGAGGGTTCGACGATGACGGGAGATTTCGAAGGGACTGAAGCAGGGGCGTAGTTTCGCAAAATGAGTTCAGGGGTGGGTGGACTGAGCTTAAAAAGCTGCCGCACCTTATCCCCGAAATGTGCCGACAAGGTGGTTTCTCCACGGATTTGGCCTACTTTCATCTCAAAGTTCGGCACTGGAAATCAAGTTGGGGTACTGCCCCCGCCCCTTCCTAGGACTAAATAGGAAACCAAACTTGCAGTGGCACAGGCTTCTGTCCGTGCAGGGGAGTAGAAGCGCCCCCTCGGGTCTCAGCTCCGGTAGCGGTTGGACACGCAAGCTGTTCATTTAAGAGCCTAACAAACCTGCCGGTACGCACTCCCGCTCCCTGTCCCGCCCGCTCCTCTCCCATTACCTGCATTCCCGTAACCAGCCCTCTGACCACTTCTCATTCTCGTTTTATCAGGATCGCCGCACCCCTCGCCCACATCTCGGGTTGATCGGATCGTGGTGGCTGAGGGGCGCGTCGTGCGGGTCAGTCACGACGCGTCCCAACACCTCGCTTCGACCAGGATATCCGAGGGGGCGGGAGGAGGGCTGTAGAGCTTCATACGGGTCTAGAGGCTTGTCACTAGCGCTGCGGCTGGATGCTCCGTGCGGGTCTCCGCTTGGAGTGTTTGGCCGCATGCAACGGCTAAGGGCTCAAGGGGCGACGGCGCTGAACCACAGTGAGGACGGAGGAAAACCTCACGTTACACCTGGCCGTGCGGGAGGCGTTGTTTGCCCCGTATATCATCGGGTAGCCCTGGCGGTGGCTACCTCCCGCGGGAGTTTTGAACCATCCCCCAGTTGGGCTACGTGGGGGCTGGGCAGCACCGATGCCAAAACTAAAAAGAACTTGCATGGCTTTTCGCACCAAAAAAAAAACAACACTCGGACCTCGAAAGGGGGAAGGACCAAGACCATCCCGGAAGCAGCGGAGGGTCTTCCCTCACTTACCGGATCGATTTTTCAGAGCCATGAGAAAAAGCTTTTGTCTCTCTCACCGTTCCAGCGGAAGAACGGCTATGACCGCTTCGGCAAAATTGATCGGTGCGATGAACTGCGAGATGGAAGGATCGAAGTCGAGTTTGCCAGTGGAGTGGAGTGTTTCTAACGCGGTGTTTCCAGTGTCAACGCTTCAGCCACATCAGACCGTGCTGCCGAAACAGACCCGCTTGTGCGAGATGTGTCTCACTTGAGTACACAACGGACGTCTGCGACCCAGAGGGACCCCGCTGTGTAAACTGCAGTAAAAAACAAACCCCGCAAACGACCGTTGATCGCATTTGCCCAGCTTACCTGACAGAAAATGAAGTTATCTCGGTTAAAGCCCCACGAAACACTTCATTTCGCGAGGCTCGGTCGCCCTGCGACAACAGCCATCCACAAACCTCGTACGCGGCGAAGGCCATGATCTCCGCTGCACGCTCGAAGGCGACGGAGCAACTGGCTGCTGCCTGGCTCGTCGCACTTCCGAAGTCCTTCAGCCTCTCAGTGGTATTGGCGAATCAGGTGCCAGACTCCCAGCCGGTGGCCCTCGTGTCGAAACCTCGCCGTCGAAACAGCGAGTTGGGATCGCACCACTGGCCTCTTCGCCCCAGGTGGGTTCACCAGTGTCGGCTAGAGACGGAGGGTGGACGGTGGTCTGGCGGGATCCCCCCCCCCCTCCACCGCCCTCCCCGGACGCGGTAATCTACTCTCGCCCTCACAGCTGTCGGTGCCACAAGTAAAGCACCCTTGGAAATGCTTGTGCTCGAACATTGCAGACCCTTTAGCGCCACGAGGTGGACAGACGTGCCCGTGATGTCTAGCGGGCGATTCTGGCGAAGCAGGAGAGGAAAAGACGGTCATACAATAGCGTACATTTCAAAGACCCGTTTGAACAACGCCTTTGCCTCGCAATCAAAACGGGTTCAAAAATTTGTACTGACATGACCAACACGCGTCTGCCTGACGATACGTATCCTTTCACATTTTTTATCTTTAAAAAGTGGTTTCCACAAACAAGCAAACAAAAAACGACGTGGTTTCCACTACGCGCGCTCACAATTAAACTAGGAGGAAAAATACCGATGCCTGTCGTTGCAGTCTTCCTCGAACCGACCAGCGTTGGCTGCCGCAGCTAACACCACACAGCGGGCAGCTGTCTGGTGTTAGCTGCGCTATAAATGCCAGTTTTTTCCAGCAATGCGCCAGTATGTTTTCTGAAGTATTTCGAGTTTAATTTGTACCGTTCAAGAGCTTTCTGGGATATATATATATATATATATATATATATATATATATATATATATATCTGTGTGTGTGTGTGTGTGCGTGCGTGCGTGCGTGCGTGCGTGCGTGCGTGCGTGCGTGCGTGCGTGCGTGTGTGTGTGTGTGTGTGTGTGTGTGTGTGTGTGTGTGTATATATATAATCTAGACAGGGTATAAGTGCATTCTCTGTAAACGGGTCCGCTGTGAACGCAACACGGGCAACCATTTCACCACCACGCCGAGTCAGCGTGCTGTAATGCTAGTCTGTTCCGATTATCAACCTGAAAATTGTCTGGATAATATGCACGGCCTAGACTACCTTCTACAAGTACATAAAGACTTATAATGCATCGGAAAGTGCCTATAAAAGTAAAGCATAGAAATAAATAGCGCCCTAGTCACAAGGTAGCCAAATGCATCAAATTATCTTTGCGGGAAGAGGCTTTTCAAAAGCAGAGGCTCTTCGTCAACCAAGTACCTTCACTCTACCACGAATGGCAGCACCGCTGCGCGTGCCCGGCGGAACGACGCTCTCACGCAGTTCATTCTTAACCGGCGTACGAGCACAATAGACTTATTTCTAAAAGTTCCTGGGATCGCCGCTTTCGGCACACAGAAGCGGTCGCAGGTGTCACACTGCACATGGCAGACATCACCGTGAGTTTTGCACACCGACTGCCCTTGATTTCAACATCCAAGGCCAATTATGAAGGGCCTTGGCGCGTCTATGGCATGTAGCCGTACAGCGTAAGCAGCGACTGCGAGCGGAGGGGGGGGGGGATGGGTGCACATGCAACATGGCATGACTCACCACTGAACACAGCAGTGGCATCATCCGACTGGGCGAGCCGGCTGAGCCGAGCCGCTTCCGTTCATGTCGCGTGCAGATCACATGATTCCGTCCTTGATCGGAACGCAGCCCGCCCGCCTGGGATGGCGGCTCAGGCGGAGAGCCCGCCCGCCTGATCAGATGCGGACACGACAGCGCCTGATCGGCTGCGGACACGACAGCGAGCCCGCCGGGGCGGCGACTCAGGCGGAGAGCCCACCCGCCTGATCAGCTGCGGACAAGACAGCGAGCTCGCCCGGGGTGGCGGTTCAGGCGGAGAGCCCACCCGCCTGATCAGCTGCGGACACGACAGCGAGCGCGCCTGGGGCGGCGGCCCAGGCGGAGAGCCCGCCCGCCTGACCAGCTGCAGACACGACAACATGCCCCCACTGTGCCGACTCATAGCATCCTCCTCTCAGACCCCGACTGTACAGAGGTAGCCCCAGCCCCGTCCTGAGTTCGTAGGGGCGCACACACTCGTGAGAGTGTAGTACTTAGTGTAACAATACATGCTGTGTCGTGTTGTGAGCTCTGACCTGCGAGCGAGGTGAACCAAATGCCTTCACCTTCATCCATATATTTACCTTCATGATGATACCTCCACCACCACTTCATACTGCTGGCTTGTGGTAAAGGTGACTCATGTCACCACATCATAGGCCAAACCCTTGTCTATAACCTCCTGGTATTTACCCGGAGCCACCAGATGAGTGTCCTGCACGGATGTATTGCTCCAGACGACCACTGCAGCGCGTACACGTTCGCCGATAAAATGCATACAATCACTACACCATGCCACGCATGGTCTATTTCATAAACGCATGCCGCTGCTATCCGGCGCCGGGCCAGTTCACAGAACCGTGCTCAACCATGTCAACAGCAAGGGGTATGAGGGGCTGGCACGGGCGGGTACCGGAGACACACATAACACGGCAGGAAGCTGACGCAGCGACTCTTAACAAGCACTTCGCGTGCACCCCACGCCAGCTCACCATTCCCCAGCCACACGGCAGCCTGGGAACTCACACTCCTCGCAAACCTTCCTTACAAAAAGACCGGCCTCCGACGCCTTCACGAGCTCAGCCGACAGGAGAACCAGCCGCCCCGCTGACAACGCGAAGCGGCGAAGTGGCGGCTACCCGCGGCGCGGCCGCCGGCGCCGGCTGCGCTGGCGTCCAGCCGCAGCCAGCAGCGGCCCGCTCTGCGGCCGGGGCCGGTGACCGAGCCTAACTGGCCTGCTCCACTCGGCCACCACCTCCACCCCACCGACCTGCGGTGCGGGGCGACTGAAAGCACTACAGATCGGCCCGGAGGCGCCGCCCGCGCGCGGTTCGCCGCCGGCGGCGCGCCCCGGCCTCTCTCGCCCAGACTAGGAGTGTACTGCCGCGCCGCATTCCAGCGAGCCACCCTGTGTTCGTGCCACCTCAGACGTCCGGTGACCGCGCCACCTATCGGCAGCTCGTACAACCACTAGTTACCGTGAGCCCCGGCGCAGCAGCGCACGCTGCCTACGGGCGCGTCCGTTGATCTCCGGCGACCACTGAACAGTTTGTCGGCCAGAGCGCCGCTCACCGCACTTGGCCGAGCACTGGAAGATCCGTCTACAGCCGCCACAGACTCAGCCGTCAAAACACTAGTCGTTGTAGACCCACCAGTCGCGCTCGTAGCCTTCGTGCACGTGCTCTAGCAGGGCCCTCCGCCGGCCGTCGCAGTATCTGGCCGAACAAGAGCAACGCCGTTGGGCGTGCTTCACAGAACAGACTTGACAGTCACACGACATACACCGTGTAATGTTCCCCAGGACCCCACAATGGGACGAAACAACCCCACGTCCTACAAACTCAACTTGCCAGTTAAATATATGACGGCCACTGGTATCAGCGATATGGCCTCGCGCACGTCACAACTTCGCGAGTTCGAGTTTGAGTTTGTTCATAACTCCAATGACATGGGCGAGCATAATACATGAACACGATATGGCCTCGCGCACGCCACAACTTAACTTCGCGAGTTCGAGTTAGAGTTTGTTCATAACTCCAATGACATGGGCGAGCATAATACATGAACACGATATGGACGCGCGCACGCCACAACTTCGCGGGTTCGAGTTTGAGTTTGTCCCTAACTCCAATGACATGGGCGAGCATAAGACATGAACACGTGCAGTTCAATGACATCAGCAGCGCAAACGACGGCGCTTGGCCCCACCTGTCCTTGTCCTGAACTTTCTGTTTGATGTCCACCAGGTTCTCCTGAGTGATGTCGCGCTCCAGATACTCAGACAGCACCTCAGTACACCGCTCCAGGTCCTTCTGGTTCTCCTGCAGTACGCCACCACAAAATAAGCCTCCAGCTTTTTAGGTCGTGCCCCATGAAAGGTGGTACAAAGGCGGCGGCATGGGCCACCAACGCCTACGTCTTACGAGAAGACAACAGGCAACCCGACACGCACTTCGATGATAGGAATGTTTGCAACGAGCTTATCAATAATTGTCCATTCAGTAGGCAACTGGTGGTTAGATGCCACCGACACGCTTACCTCAAATATGGTTGACTGGTTGTTCTTTCGCAGGTAGTACGCGAAGACGTACGTGTACATAAGCGTCACACGACAGGAACACAGAATGTCCACAGCCTTCTTCAAAAATTGCACCTATGGCGACACAGAACACAAAACCATTGTGTTAGTCAGCAGGAAACATGATATCCGAAATTATCGTTCGAAATAAAGTGATATTAGCCTACTTAGTACGTTTGGTTCTTATGGGTCCGCAGTTACAGTTGTTTTGAGCATGACCAAGAAACATGAAGTTCAGCTGTGCACACACCAGTTTTTTAGTACTTGTTGGGCACATATTACACAAGTCAAGCGGCTAGGTGTGTCAGTGGTATAGTTTCCCAAGTGGCTGCTGCCATCCCTGCAAGGGCGTGACTTTAACATGACACACCACATACGTGAAATTATTATTAATTATTATTAATCATATGTGCATCTAGCTTTAGATAAGCTTGGAGTTGTGTTTGACTGTCATGCCTGGTTCATGTCTGAAACTGCTTTAGGATGCCCTCGCTTCGAGGTGTGGTACCACTCCTGCCCAGTTGGTATACAGCCACACACACACAGCAGGTACTCTCCCGACAGTGTGACGCCTATACCCCAGCTGCCTCCAGTCTGCAGCTGACCTCGATCCAACTCATGTTGTGCTGCTGCATCTCCTCCATCTTCTCCTTGACTGAGGCGTACAGCTTGTTCTCGAACTTGAGGGACTGCATGTGGTTCATGTAGCGGTTGCAGTAGAAGAGGTAGCGATTGAGTACGGCGCGCGATTTCTCCTGGGCGTCGCGGGCCGCCTTGGCCTCGTCCTCGTCGTACCGATTACAGCTGTACCTGTGTGTAGCGTAGAGAATTACACCGGAAACGGAGGTAGTGCCGGTGGCAGCTCTACCTATTGCAGGGGTGGGGTCTACGACTGACCAGCAGCGTACAACAAAACGCTACGCCTCCATAAGCCCACACATTACACGAAGCCGGGCGCCGATCAGCCCTAACATCTGCAAAACCCGGGTACAAAACACGATACAAGTATAAAACAGCAAAGGCATATATGAACAACGCATTTCCAAGCATCACACTATAGAAGCATTGCTAGGAGTGTATACATATTATGGGTAGCAACAAACACAGTATTGTGGCAAGTATTGTGATATTACTAGAAACGCATACACCTCATGGGTACCAGTAAACGTATTACATAACATCGCACGACAGTCCCGCTAAATGGGCCTAAATGTATGGTAGCATATATGAGACATTCGAGATTCCTGACAAAGCAAACGGCGAAAGCGGCACCAAACATCCTTTTTCCAGTCGTACCGATGAACACAAACTCAGGCGAGGCACCAGGTTACGGCGCGCGGGCTCGAGATGGCCGAGATGTTGGTCATAACTGGACCGTTCTAACTAGGGACGCGAGCAGCCCAACAAGACAGGAGGCCCACCCCAGCAGAGGTCGTCACTGACCAGGAGGAGCCGTGCGGCTCCCAAGAGCCCAGGCACACCCAGCAGAAGTCGGCGCGACAGCTCTGGTTCTTGCACACCATGTGGTTGCACCCGCCGTCCTTCTCGATTGTCACACTGCACTTTGGACACTCCTGCAAGGCACACACGCCATGGCGTCACACGATCCGCATGACGAGGTCGGCCCGCTTTGGACCGACCGGCTCGGCCGACGAGGACCAGCAACACTCTTCAATGCAAGCCAGGCCCGACTCGCTTCCAGGGCAGCCTCCACAGGACTTCGGACAATGGCTATAAATCCAGCAGACGCAGTATGGCCAATTTAACAAAAGCATCTGCTTTCAAAAGGCACAAAGCGGCGGCACAGTACTGCTCGACCCCTGCTTACAAACGGTACAATCCCCTCTAACTCACAGTCAAACCCCAGAATCAAATCAGCTCTCGACCCAACCAGCGTCCGCGAGCGGAAGCAACGCCCATCCAGCCCCAACACGCACCTTGGTGTTGGCGGAGATCCAGTTGAATGTCTCCGAGTCGTCGTCGCACTTCTTGAGCCAGCGCTTGATGAGCGAGCACCGCACCGGATCGTGCCAGGCCTCGCCGCACGCGAAGCAGAAGCGGTGACCGCACTTGCACGTGACGGGTCGCATGTCCGGGTAGGAGACCTTGAGCGCGTAGCCGCAGTCCGGCGTCGGGCACCAGCACAGACACCGGTTACACTGGCGGCGGACGACGGGCGCGTGACACACGACCGGCCCCGGACGGCCAAGCACTCTGCTGGCTGCTGGCCCGAGCGCCGACACTGGCGCAGCCACCAGCTGCAGGGCACTGTGGTGTAGTGTAGCAGGCGAGGCACAGAACACCGTACGCAAGGACATGAGGATGAAGAACAATTTTTTGCAGGCAACACGGCTGTCCGCGGTCTGCACAGTCGACACAAACACCAAATAATGACCCATCAAACATACTTTCTTTCGAGCTATAGGCTGACGTAACACCTCCCGCAATGTGAACCAACTTCAGCATTCTCGAAACCCAATCCAATTCGCTGATAGTCGCAGCTGTCTAAACATCCAACACAGAAAAGATGCTGCCGCCGCCACAGGCATGCCTCCGGTCGCCAGCTCGCACCTCAACGAAGCTGTTGGTGATGAGGTGCTGGTAGCGCTGCAGCACGCGCGGCTCGCTGACCAGCCGCATGACCGTCTCGTCGTCCACCAGGATGTCGCAGCCGTGCGCCGCGCACGAGATCGTCTGGCCCATACCCTCATCCATCACCTTGGTGGTCAGGTACTCAGCCCAGCAGCCAGCGCAGAACCGGTGGCCGCACGGCAGGCTCGACATGACCTGCGGGCGCGGGGCACCGTCACACGGGTCACGCGAGAGCAGCGTCCCTGACGTCCCTGCGTTCCTGACGCGGCAGCGGTCCGAAAGAGGCGTTGGCACGCGGCAGCGGTCCGAGGGAGGCTGTGGCACGCGGCAGCGGTCCGAGAGAGGCCGTGGCACGCGGCAGCGGTTCGACAGAGGCGTTGGCACGCGGCAGCGGTCCGAGAGAGGCGTTGGCACGCGGCAGCGGTCCGAGTAAGGCCGTGGCACGCGGCAGCGGTCCGAGAGAGGCGTTGGCACGTGGCAGCGGCCCGACAGAGGCGTTGGCACGCGGCAGCGGTCCAAGGGAGGCTGTGGCACGCGGCAGCGGTCCGAGAGAGGCCGTGGCACGCGGCAGCGGTCCGAGTAAGGCCGTGGCACGCGGCAGCGGTCCGAGAGAGGCGTTGGCACGTGGCAGCGGTCCGACAGGCGTTGGCACGCGGCAGCGGTCCGAGGGAGGCTGTGGCACGCGGCAGCGGTCCGAGAGAGGCCGTGGCACGCGGCAGCGGTCCGACAGAGGCGTTGGCGCGCGGCAGCGGTCCAAGAGAGGCGTTGGCACGCGGCAGCGGTCCGAGTAAGGCCGTGGCACGCGGCAGCGGTCCGACAGAGGCGTTGGCACGCGGCAGCGGTCCAAGAGAGGCGTTGGCACGCGGCAGCGGTCCGAGGAAGGCCGTGGCACGCGGCAGCGGTCCGAGAGAGGTGTTGGCACGTGGCAGCGGCCCCAGGGAGGCGGGTGGGATACCTATCGCCCTGACGGTCTGCTGCCCTACTGTTCAGTGTCTTAAGGATGCGTCATGCACAGGTCCACTCGGCAGTTCATTTGACACCCAGATAAGAACATAGCTGGCAAACCGACACTCAATATGTTAAGTGGCAATCTTGTTCAACTGTGTTCCTTTCAGATAAGCTACCTTTCGCTTCCGCTCGCTATTGATTGCTTTGTAAACGAGCCGCACCGACGCAATGGCACAACCATATACAAGTTGAAATAACAGATATTTCCGACTAGAGTCTGTGCTAAGCAGTTTACCGGGAGCCCGTATGTTACAGCGCAATCCTGGAGTCTCAATAGCAGTCCTGCCATTCACCCCAATGGTGCCCTCCGCCCCCGTCCCCCCCCCCCCCCCCCCCGCCCCTCTCCGGCCCTCCAGCTCAAGTGAAGGAGCACCGTCGCCGGCGGGAGGCCATCCCCGTCGTAGCCGGGGCTCTGCTTACCGCCGACGGCTGCACCGTCAGGCAGATCTCGCACTCCTCGGTGGTCACGGCGCCCCGCCGGCTGTTGACCTGGCGAGGTGGGACGCCCGGGTCAGTGTCACCGCACGTCACACACGGCAGCGCACCGGCAGGGTGGTGCTCCGCTCCCAGGATCCCGGCCCCCCACCACATCATTCGACGCTGGTGGGAAGACGTCCGAGGGAGGCGGAGGGGGGCGGCGTCTGGAGGGGCCATGTCTCGACGTGGCCGGCCTCCACCGGCTCACCCACCCGACGAATGCATGTGGTGGGAGTACAAGGTGCTGGCAGAAAGTCTGGAATGCCCGGACAACGGGCACTACTGGCGGCCATGAGGATAACCTCGTGAAAAAGCATTGGGCATATGTACCCAAAATATTTCATATTTCAGCGGGATCTGGATGTCATAGGGCTTCAGGCACCCAGTTTTCGAAGAACAACAGAAAAAAAACATATGACCTATCACCATAACATGGACTGGAAATGCTTTATCAATCATGTCACCGAGCCTTGCTCTGGGGCGAGCCCCCTGATCCACCTCGCAATCCTTCGCGTTTCTGTGCAGGAGAGCCGCAGGCCACCTGTCATCGCTGGGCGGGCGGTGGGTGCTCGTGATGCGCGGCGCCTACCTTGGGCGCGTGCGAGCTCTTCCTAATGAGCGGGCTGACGACATGCGCCTCCTGGAATAGCCGCTCCTGGTCCGTGTCATACAGCCGCTCCAGTAGCTTCTCCTTGTCCCAGTTAAAGTGGTTCAGCAGAATTCGTATCGTCGTTCGCGGCAGCTGGAACAGCGGTGAAACCACATATTAGAACACTGGTTAGAACACTGGACGGACGTACAGCAGTGACGGGATCGGGGTCAGTTCATGTCACGTGTCATTTCCTATTGAAGGCTCCAGATCCTGCCATCTGGCACATATACATTTAAGTCCAATGGATAAAGCCACACCATTTTGCCACCCAGCACGGAAGGATGTTTAGTTTTCTATCGTACTCCGATACCCTGAAGTTTGACCTGCCTGCACCCCGAGGGCAGCTGCCAATTTCGTGTCTTACATCAAAATAAGGCAAGCATATTCAGAAACACCCGTGGAAGTGCTGACCTGAGCCACGTCCTTCACTTCATTGATCTCTTCCACCATGAACTCGACGATCTCCTGGATGGAGAGGACCTGGAACGGGTAGTCGTCCATGATGGCGTCGTCGGCCCTGGAAGCGGATGGGCCCGCGCGCTGCTCGTCAAAGTCCAACTCGTCGCCGCTCGACTCGTTCCCCGAGTCGGCCTCGTACAGCATGTTGTCCTCGCCTGAGTCCTCGTCATACTGGATCTCGCCATCTGAATCCATGTCGACCTGGGGAAGGGTTATACAGGTTTTAAAATACTTGCAATAAGCATATATACTTCTCAAGGTCCAAGCTTTCAGAGCCAGTAAATATGGGTACACAAATCAAGTGAAATCAACAGGTTTATCCCTCCAGCAAGCAAGAGTTGAGGGCCATTTTCTGTTCCAAGGTGCAAGGTTTACAGAACATCATAGCATTTATGGATCAACATGGCGAACTCAACCAGATTGATTTTAACAAAATTACAAAAGTAACTCTAAGCAGGGAGAGAAAAACATAAGTTGGTAAGTTGGTCTTGCCACCCATCTAAGGTCTTACACTAATGAATGTTGATCCACTTAAGCCATGACTCAGTTCTGAATTCCAAAGCATTATTCAGAAATTCAAAATGATATCAAGATCAAATGGAAGATGAGTCCAGATTTTACAGCACAATGACAGAACAACAGTTGCAATGCACTGGAAATCAGAGAAAACAAAGTAGGTGAGGATAAACAAGACAAATGCCATGCATAGCACATATTAAACCATCCAGTAAGGATAAATTTCCCACCTCTAGCTGACTACTACCATCTAGCAATTCAACATGATACCTGATCCTGGTATGTGGTCAGACAGCATAAAATCATCCAACTGTTGTTAATTGATTAACAACTGAACAGTGTGGCATTCCAGCCTCGAGGTCTGATTATGACACAGTTCTTGCATCTGCATCTGATCTGATCATCTGACACAATGCAGGCAAAATTTAAAGCATCTTTATTAGAACATACTACTCCCATTGCTATGCAGAACATACTAGTCAAATAATGAACATTCATGTACAAGGCAATGTGACTGTGTCACTTGACAGATGTAATTGTGTGATATGATTACTTTTTTGCTAGTTATTAATTCATCTAGAGGCCTGATTCATGTTATGATTCAAAATTTTGAATGGTAGAGCACCATTCATATGTGCAGCCTTTTGTGCACAGGGCAGTTCACTATTTGGTTCACTCCCAAATCATCATCAGCTACCCAAATATTTACTGAAGACCTGCTGCTACCCTCCCCAAACATACCCAAATCTGAAACAGAGTGCTTCACATTTTTATAGGATTTGGAACCAAATAGCCATCTTAAGATAAGTTGGCACAGTCCACAGCACTCGCCCTTCTAAAGACTCAACCACCCCACCCCCCTCCCCCCTCTAAATTCTGAGCCACACATCTAGCCAAGATGCACTTGACTATTTCAAGCAGGACTATTTCAGTGTCACCCAAGCATCCAGCACAGTGGTAACATCATCGCCTCATCCATCATTGCCGTGATCAAGGCCCAAAAACATATAATTGGTGAGTTGTTCATGTCTCTGGCACTCATGACCACAATTTCTAGAAATTCAATTCTGTTATCTAAATTACATGATGTTTTATGAGCAATTTACTAACAGAAACATTGTATTTTCTAGAGCAGTATTTCCACTTAAAAGCATACCATTGTTATAAGTGGGCATATTTCATCATATCTAATGCTTGCTTCAATGTCTCAAGCTTGAAACATTTCCTTACAGGACATATTTTGTAAATTGCATGTTCCATAGCTTCATGGTGAGAACTCAGCCGTATATGTTTCTTCCATAGCATCATTTCTAAAATGCATCAAGGTTCCAACTGTGCATGACTAAACAACCTAAGACCAGAACAACCTAACACCATCAACCTAAGCAACCTTAGCAGCATTAACCTCAACCTTAACAACCTCAACCTTAACAACTACCAACAATTCAACTCTTAGGTTCTTCTTGGCAAGATGCTCAACTGTCTTGATGGTGCAGGCAGCCTTAGCAAATGAGAGTAGGACAGAAATAACCCTGTTACTTCACATTGCCTAAAACTGCATACATTATGTCTGTCTCACATAAAAGATCGATAAAGATACAGGATTAGAGTAGGTCTCCAATGAGCCATGTTATAATCCCCAAAGGAATGTGTAGATAAACCTGTACACAGTTCGGCTGTTATAATTTCTCAAAAATTGCACACTGCTTGCAAATGCCAATTGCTGCATTGCAGGCAGTGCTAAAAAACCAACATAGCTTCTTTCCTCACTTCAAGAAGGTTTCTATAAGCTCCATGTGGTCAAAAGCTTTGTATTGTTCTCAGTATGTCTTGAACCCTCAGTTTACACATGATGAACCATGAATGATTTTTAGCACAAAATGGAACATGTTGACAAACATGAATTTTTTTATATTTGTACAGGAATTGTTTTGATGCTATCATATTTTTTAGGACCTACATGTGACTAGATAGTTGCACAAGCCAAAACTCATATCATTCATTGCTAGATGTGTCTGGGGAACAGCCCACAGGCTTGATCATTTCACAACCCAGTGTATCCACCTGGTGGCAATGGGGGTTTCCCTACCCACATACAACTAGATCACTAGGTAGCTGAATACTTCATCCTGAATATCTCACATGGTCATATCTTGTTGACATCACCCAACCAGTCTGTCAAAAATTCATCCAATGCATCTCATTTGTCTCTGTGATGCTGTTCCAAACATGGAGCATGCCAGCACTCAACTCAAGCCAGGCAAAATTGCATGAAATGTCTTACTTTTTTAGCTTGGAAGCATTTTTGGGAACATCTCTGCCTGAAATTTGTTTAGCAACAACACTATTCCTTACAAAATAGGTGTTTGCCTGACATTATTTCAGCAACAACATAACTCCTTACAAAACATGCCATCCATGCAATGCAATCGACGGATGTTGTGAAGCGAAACCACAGTTCTCAGAATTAATGAGTTCACACACTGAAATTGTTGGCTGGGTGCCACTGCTATGCTGAACAAGTTTGGTGTGACATGTACTTTTGGCATATCAAATCAATCACACTTCCTTGCATGACCACAAAAAATATTTTTCGTAGACAGGTGTTAGCTGGGTATGTAGAAAAGAAACTTAGGCACTCATACTTCAGATTTACCGACCCAAATAATCTTACCCAAAGCGCTGTCGTCTTGATGCTACCACGAATATTTCACAGGACCGCCGATTTCACAACGTTGCACGTAGCGAAGATGCCTTTCAAGCGGTCTTTTGATGCAATAAAAAACAAATTAACTCATAAGTCTCCGCAGGCTTGCAGAAGGGCTAATCGTACATTGCACCAGTGAGCAATGAGTAAGCTTAATAACTAGCCCTAAGTATTCAATGAGTAAGCTAATACGAATACGGCTCACCTGCGAGCGAGTTATACCTAGTTTGATGACGTCACTGCTATCATCCTCTGATGTAAAATGCCAGCAACCATCGAAAGCATCAAACTTGTTTAGATACACGAACTTCAAATCATGATGAAGTAGGACAAACATATTTTTTCATGCACATATTTTTGATCTATGATTACTATTTTTGCACCCTATTTCGAATCCCTTGATCAGAAACGAGTTCACATGCTCATGTGAGGGAATAGGTATGTCCCAAATTTGAAGATTTGAAACAAGCATCGGTGCTGTCGAAGCAAGCATCAAGGAACACAGACTCTCTGGGTCTGTGCTCTTTGAACACCAAGCAACTCAAAGAAACTGCATCTGGCCAGTTGCATGCAACCGCCAGAGACTCCGACCAACGTTATAGAAGACAGTGGTTCGCGGTGTGCTGGGTGATGCCGGCCCACCTGACCAGCCGGCCGCACTGACCGGCACCTCCGCGCCCCCTTCGGGGGCGCGAGCTGCCGGTCAGTGGAACACCCTAATTACCGGGGAGCTCCAAACGCGAGCAATAATCCACCAACCGGGGAAACAGTAAAAAGAGGGCTCACTCCATGCCCTTAGCGCACAAACTTTCGGCACGGGAACATACCAACTACCCTCAACTGACATGACAGTGAATTGGTCAATGTTGACGTGAGCTTACTTCGCCCACGTGCAGTCCATGTGGATGAGATTCATGCCAGGCAGTCCCTCTCATTGGTACGTGGCATGGTAAAACCGAATCAGGGAGCACACGGTACGAAAATTATTGCGCACATAGTTAACATGACAAGGCATATGGCCCGCCAATCTGGATCCCAGATGGGGCCCCAGGCATCAGCCCGCTTGCATCCCATGCTGGCATGTGGTCAGCTGGCCCACGCTGCTGCCCGTTTGGATCTGAGTATATGCCGCTCACCATTGTTTAAACTAGCTTGTACACAATCAGAGAACATCCAACCATGAAGAGCAAGTCCGAAAACTAATACACTGATGTAAAACATGTCAGCATTGTGGGCAGGCCCACCTGCGTTCGACATAAAGCCCGAAGACAAGCCCACCAGCAGCCCATGTTGACATGGTCCCGACTTGCCCACATGCATCCCATGTGGCAAGTCGGGGCCCAGCTCGTGCTGCGCTCCTTTGTTGTGTACTCATTTGTACATGATAAGGAAAAATCCAACGCGGAAGCACAAAGTAGCAGACCTAATGCACCTGTACCAAAGATGGTAGTGTATTGGCAGCCCATCTAGGTCCCAGACGGAGCCCATATACCAGCCCACCCGCAGCCTACACGGGCGTGAGCATGGAGGTGGCACATGTAAAATAATTATACACGCTATGGTAAAATCTTAAAACAACAAATAAAATTGATATACACATAATTGTGTACATGACAACTTTATTGCGCATGTAACATATGGGCAGCCCATTTGGGCCTCAGATTAGGCCTAGATACCAGCCCACCGGCAACCCATGTTGACATAAGCCCAGCTTGCCCACGTATGGCCCACATAGATCCCACCAATGCAAGCATTCCCTCCTGGTAAGTTACTTCTTCTTGACATGATAAATTCCGACGGAACAGTACAAGGCACGAGCATTTCTGGTGCATTCAAAAATATGAAACGATGCGGATGTCCCGTGTGCGACCCAACTGGAGCCCAGTCAAAAGTCCACCTGTAGCACAAGCCCACATTAACCCAGTTGCCCCACGTTTAGCCCATGTGAGTCCCATTTGGGAATGCCGGCTGGGATCGCATGCGATGACATAAGCTTAATCTTAACTAATGAGACGCTTTTGCGTTGAAAAAGCTGCTTTAGACACCACAATTTTTCCGCTCAGTAAATGTGCTCCTCAATGCGCCATTGTTTGATTACGTCATCTTATCTTCCAAAACACTGATTGACAGCCAATGCTGACAGCCGTTATATTTTGATAGTGCTTATGAACACCAGATTCATATGAACGAATCGACAATTATATTTTCCTGGTCTTGACTGCGTCATGACCAGTTGAATGGCAGAATTTGAATGGCGTTATCATCGCTTCATGGTTTCCTGGGTGGCCTAGAAATAGTATTGCCGAAGAGGTCCGCACATCTTCGCGGGCGTGTAGCTCAGAAACTCGAGTTGTTTGCGCCTTAAGGACCTGTGACCTATGAACTGCACTGAATGGTCTCCAAGATGGCGCCATCTTGGAGAGCTTCTAGAGATAGCTCGAGTTACCTTTCTTACGTTCGTTTCGGAGCTATCTCTTTTTATCTTTTCTTCTTACGTTCCCCGGTCCAGTCTAGGCTCGCCGTGCTCCATCCGGTGTCGTCCGTTCCCGTCTGTCCCTTTTTGTCCCGTCTCGTTCGGCTTCTATCAGGGTCATGCCCGGACTCCGTGCGATACCGTTTGGCCCCGTTCTGTTTGGGTCGGCCACTTCCGTGACTGTTTGGTACCATACGTTTCCGTCCGTTCCGTCCGGTGCCGTCAGTCCCACTCGGGCCCGTCCGATCGTGTTCGATCCCGTTCGGCAGTGACTTTGGTTTTGAGGCGTCGCCATACAATCAGCTGAAAGTGTTTGTGATCTTTACGATTGCAGGGTAATCTGCTAGTTGTTCATGATATGGTACCAGTGTCTGAGACTTTCGTGTTTCTTGATGTTTTTAGCTCCAATGCATTTTGTTCTCAACAAATATACACTGGAAAGAATGCTAAAATTGTTCTCTTTGAGCGACGTCAGATGAAAGCAAGCTGTTCCTGAAACTTGGACAGCATCGCGGACCACACTCACGACTAAACGGGGGATACTGGCTGCGGGTTACAGACGAATCTTTTTACCATATCACACACGATCTTCCCTTGCAATGCACTCGGTACCCTGGTCCGTTGCTGCTCACCAGCACACGTTTGACCCACCCAACGTACAACAACAACACCCACGTGCTCAGACACCGGGCCCGAGCCCGCACTCAAAAAACAACAACAGCGTCTTGACGGGCCAGGGAGAACGCGGAGAACATCTCTTATACGTCAGGATTCAACGTTTTTCTGGACTGCACGTGGAACCATTGTAAGCCATAAAAATTCTACGAAAGTATACGATGTCACAACATGTGCCTGTAAATATGGCGCGAATCAATCATATCTTGATGAATAAATATTTTCAAATTTTTAAATACTTATCTTCACTTGCATTTGAACTATCAAAAACCTTTCCACGACAATGTTTTGCGGAGGGAAGAGCGTCGGCTTAGGTCTGTTGAGAACCGACCAATCAGTTGACGAAACGTCGCTGCCAGGCCGGATGCCAGGTGCTCCTCATCACTTCACTGGTAGACATGTAACATTGGACTTCTTTTACTTCTCACATCACAGGGATTCACAACTTACTTATGATGGCGACATTGAAAACCAAGCAGGTATTCGTAATAGCACGTGTTCTGCATCTTACCGATGACCTCACTGGGTGCGAACTGAATCAGTCATCAGTTGCAAACTTCAGTGGGACACGTTTTTTCGGCTGTGCCCGCTGCTCACGACGTTCCGGGAGGACTTGTTACGGTGTACGTGCATCTTCCTACGTACTCGTGATTAAACATTCATTTCGTGATGCCACTTGACAAAATGGAGTAAAAAAAATGAGCTGCACTTTACCGGTTGTTTCATGACGTTCGTAACACGAGTAATGGTCTTCGTTTCGTATTCACTAGGGAACCTGGTAATGGCGGAAAAACTACCTTTCCCCAGCAAGCTTCCTCGAGAAAACTACCGCAAGAAGGTCCAAGTGATCCATGAACAAACCGCATTCAGGCATGTCCACACTGAGTTGCCAATGTGGCCGGAAAAAAGGCCCTAAAACTGACTCAACGTTTTCGGCTACCGACATATCTGTCTCTAACAGACATTCCAAAATAGTGTCCATCGGTGCAACCATTGGCGGACACCCTTTTGACACGATTTGGATGGCAATGGTTTCTCCTAGCCTTGAAACCGCGGGTTCTGTGAGTGTTATGGCACCCTCACCATTAGACACTTTCTGAAAATACTATGTAGAGCATTAGCGCCCATGGCAATGGATGGGAAGAATCGACTATAATATGAGTATGAACACCCTTGCTTTCTGAGACGTTCCTCCGTCTATGTTCGGGTGCCAATGCCAAACCTTGTATTACATTTGCAGCCCAACTCTTTCAATTTACCTTCCGGCCGTCTGGTATGAACTCTCCAAGTTCAATGCGCGATGCCGCTTTGCTGCGTTTGGAAACGACTGCAGGGTGTTTTAATCATTGCTGAACACAATGCCTTTTAGGTGAGTCCACTTTGAGTCAATCATATGGCCGTTGATGGGCCATAATCGTACTTTTTACCTTTCGACCGTCAGTCTTATCCACCCATTTCAGGCGTGCCAATATAGTTTCAATAGATGCAACCACTAGAAAAACCACATCGTTGGGATGTGTGCTTCATTTCAATGTATCATATGTGACTGTTGGACTTGATATTTCAGGTATACATACCTTTCATGGTAAATACATTTAGCCGCATACACACCGTGTTTCACGCTCGAAGGGTCGTGTGGGTATTGCGTAGGCCTTAACGCACGCTCTGGCTATGTGCCCAATAGGCCGCGGTGCTGCCCGTGAAAAGCTAACCGGGGCTAGAATATTTCAGATGCCACTTAAACAGCTTTAGAATTATGTCCACTAGTCGTTTGCACCGATGGAAACTGTACTGACACGTTTGAAATGGGTAGATAGAGCTGGCGGCTGAACCGTAAAGAGTTTGCTCATGGCTATCGCCGGCCCTATTGGTAACTCGGAGTGGCCTTAGCTCAATGACGTTGCGTCCAGGAATCATTTAGAGCACCTTTCAGTAGTTTATAAAGGTAGAA